CAAAGCTTCCGCGCTTCGCGCAGGAGGGGGAGGGGGGGGGGGGGACTGAATTTAGACAAGGATTAAGAGTCGAGAACTGTACAACGAATCGTCTTCTTTCTCTAATAATTTAATAAGTCGTAAAATTTTCCGCGCTTTGCGCGGGAGGGGAAAAACTAAATTCAGACGAGAATTATTTTCGAGAACGGTACAACGAATCGGCTTCTTTCTTTAATAGTTTAATAAAACGTCAAAACTTCCGCGCTTCGCGCAGGAGGGGGAGGGGGGGGGACTGAATTTAGACAAGGATTAAGAGTCGAGAACTGTACAACGAATCGTCTTCTTTCTCTAATAATTTAATAAGTCGTAAAACTTTCCGCGCTTCGCGCGAGAGGGGAAAAACTAAATTCAGACGAGAATTATTTTCGAGAATGGTACAACGAATCGTCTTCTTTCTTTAATAGTTTGATAAAACGTCAAAGCTTCCGCGCTTCGCGCAGGAGGGGGAGGGGGGGGGACTGAATTTAGACAAGGATTAAGAGTCGAGAACTGTACAACGAATCGTCTTCTTTCTCTAATAATTTAATAAGTCGTAAAATTTTCCGCGCTTCGCGCGGGAGGGGGAAAACTAAATTCAGACGAGAATTATTTTCGAGAACGGTACAACGAATCGTCTTCTTTCTCTAATAATATAATGAAACGTCAAAGCCTGGGAGGGGGAAACTCGCCCCCCCCCCCCCCCCTGCACCGATTCCCCCCCCCCCCCGCATTACGTCACTGTTGGTCACCATAACGTACCAGTATTTGGCTCGCATAATTTCAAATTTGGGCCCCCCCCTAAGAAATCCTGGATCCGCGCCTGCCTCTTACCCCCCCCCCCCCCCCCGCTTATTCAGCGGTCGGCTGAGTCGTTGCGATTTTTTGGGACCAAAAAAAAAAAAAAGTGACCTCTTACCCCCGCTTATTCAGAGGCTGGCTGAGTCGTTGCGAAATTTTCGGCCCGATTTATAAATGTTAAAACTCCCCCCTTGAAAAAATCCTGCGTACGCGCCTGGATGAGTGCATGGTCTGGGTCCAAATAATGCGCTAACAGGTCATTGATATTGGTATAGCTGAAATCATTTCGTCATGAGGTTGTTTTTTTGGGGGGGGGGATCGAGGGCCGGAGTTGGTCGGGTTTTGTTTTGTCCTTCCCTTCTTCTTCTTCTTCTTCTTCTTCTTCTTCTTCTTCTTCTTCTTCTTCTTCTTCTTCATTTGATTTTGTGTTTGTGTCATTTTCGATTTTTTTTTTTTTTTTTTTTTTTTTTTTTTTTTTTTTTCTTGCCATTAATTATTGCTGTTTTGAAGTAGTATCATGACTGCATGCAGGGGCGGCGATCCTCCCCACACTGAACGAAATATCGGCCGGCACGATTTTCAAATTTCAGCACACTAATTTTGTAATTGATTTCAAATTTGGGCCTAGCTCCCCCCCCCCCCTTCCTCAGAAATCCTTGATCCGCGCCTGCTTATGGCATCGGAAAAGGGGGACCTATCAGATTTAATGGGGGCTTTTATCAGAGGTGAATAGAAGCATTGAAAATGAGGGAGAGGGGCTATTAATTATACAAAGGGGGACGCTTATCGGAAGTAAAAGGGGCACTTACAGTGTATTAAAAAGAACAATAGGCACGTGTCATGATAAAAGTGACAATTATCAAAATCGAAAAGGGTCACTTTATTAAAAAGGTAAAGGGGCACTTATAAAGAAAAAAACACTTGTCAAATTAAAAGAGGCAACAATGGTATGGTACATGTAGGTGGCACTTACAAGAATGCCGGGGAACGGGCACCTATTAGAAAAAATGACACTTATCTAAAATAAGAAGGGACCATTTGGGGAATACTTGAAAAATGTGAGGGGCAAGGTCCCCCCCCCCCACCCCCTCGGTGGACCGCCTCTGATCTGCCTACCACCTAGCGACAACCCTTATTCAATTACTAGTTCAAGAATTTTCCTTCTGGTACTGCAATCATAGGGAGAGAATAGCTGCCGTATGTAAAGTTGACATTAATGCGTCACCGCATATAAGAAAAGGCGTAAAAGGGGCAACTCCCTGTCTATTAATGTATTATTTTCCATAAATCTGAAATAAAGCAAACAAAAAAGGCTCCACTGGCTATTTGTAGTGTCTTTCGGAATATCCCCCCATATCGAAACAGGTTTGTTTGCAACCAGACCCATTCTTATTTCATGGGTGTATTGCAGACGGAAACGGAGGCACGTATAACATAAAAATAAACGCAAACATGGTAATCATAATAGTAAATTCTGATGTTATGAAATGTTGTGAGCCCGTTGGGTTTAGATTTGGAGGCCTAGTTTCACTCAGAATATTGTATTGTTTATTTTGTGTGTTGCGTATTTGTTTAATGATAGAGTACGTGAAGCGACTGCTAGACGACATTCGACCTGCATCGATACATTCAACAACATGAAGGCTAGGCGGTGCACATGCCTCACCGATCGAGGAGCAATGGGACACGGTGCCCCTCGATCCCCACCCCCCCCCCCCCCCATCATTTTGTTTAGGTATGCCCACAAAACTTACTTTCTAAAGTGCCCTTCCTTTTTGGTCCCCCCCCCCCTCTCCCACATTGAAAGACGCCCAAGATAAATATTAACAAAAAACGTTTAGTTGATTTTGCTGTCGTTGTTATTTTGTTATGTTCTGTTTGTACAACTTTACATGAATATCTAGTTCACGGAAGGGCAATGACGCTACATCTGAAGATTTGTTTTAATTATTGTTCTCATCGACAGCACCACCTCAACGACAAGTACCATAATTACATGTATCTCAATGTAGAACAAACCACAGTTAACCCATTGCTTACTGGAACCGGGTGCTCCCTGTATTAAGCCTATGGGAATTAGAGAATTCAGTAGTCAACGAGTTAAAAACCAAAAATTGTAGCACATAAATGGCTTATGCGTCTTTTGAAATCCAGAGGGCGTTATCTCTATTTAAGACTCCGTACTGCCTTCATCCACACTTCTCTCTCTCGAGAAATGTTATTCAATGGTATTAAATCTTGATGAAGTTTCCTCTTTGCATTTTTAGGGGTTTACATTGATTTGAAATGTGATTTATGAAAGGTTGTTGGAGGTTCCTCCCTTGGGGGGGGGGGGGGGGGGGGGGGGGAATAAGAGCACTTTTTGGTTGGCTGAATCCGTGATGTCACTGTGACGTAGCCTAGTACCGGGCTACTTATATTACCCATTTTGTTTCAAATGAGGCATTTATTACACCTGGAAAAAGGCACTCACCAGGAATTAAAGAAAGACACTATGAGAGTGTGATTGGGTATTTTTTGACAGAAAAGGGGCACCCATCAGATTTTGATAGGGGCATTTATAAGAGGTGAAAAGGGTCACTTATCGCACCCTAAAAGGGGCACCGACCAGATATGAAAATGGGCATTCATGAGAATGACAAAGGGGCACTTATAATAAAGGAAAATTTGCATTTATATAAAGGAGGCACCGATCAGAGTTAAATAAAGGTATTTAACAGAGGTGAAGGGGTACTTATTAAAAGGGAAAAGGGGCACTTCTCGTACCTGAAACGGGGCACGTACTAGAGATTAGTAAAGCACTTATGAGAATGGAAAATGGACACTTATTGCAAAGAAAAATGGGAATTTGTCATAGAAAAAAGGGTGGGTGTCAAAATAAGGGTTCTTATGATTTATCAGAGGTGAAAGGGGGAAGGGGCACATAAATAATACTGTTACTGCTAGTCAGAGGCGGCGGTTTCTTTTCATGACCGGAGGACGAATTGCAAGGGACAATGGAGCAGAGTTAACGAAAGGGGCGAAGTCCACGGAAGTGAATACCCTCTCAGTCTTGTTGTATTAAGATATTACATTACTTAGCAAAACTATGGTATACAAATGGAAAACAGACTTACTACAATATTTACTTGTACATTTTGAAGGATATTATGCGGGGGAGCGGCGGCGACTTGTGTATATTTGTGATTGCTATACATTTTTTTTCTTCACTTTTTCAAATTTCCCGGGGGGGGGGGGGGCACCATCCCCTAGAAAATTGAAGCTCCTGCTGCTAGTGCTACTACTACTAATAATAATATCAATAATGATAATGACTATTTTTCTCTGCATCCAACAAATTGCCCACCCTCTCCCTCTTTCTTTCTCCTTCTTGTACCTTCTCTCTCTCTCTCTCTCTCTCTCTTTCTCTCTCTCTCTCTCTCTCTCTCTCTTCTCTCTCTTCCTGACATAAATATTGCAAACAAAATTACAAAGGAGAAACTCAAGGTAGATGAAGATAAAGTGAAGTGTTTCAATATTAGGGAAGGACAAAAAGGAAGAGGAACATGAGAGTGAGAGAGGGAGAGAAAGTGAGAGAGAGAAAGAAAGAGAGAGATGGAGAGAGAGAGAGAGAGAGAGAGAGAGAGAGAGAGAAAGAGAAAGTGAGAGCGAGAGGGAAAAGGGGTAAAAGGTGATAAAGTGAGATAGAATGACAGGTCTGAAACTTGCAACGTTGATCTAGCTGGAAATCTCAGACTCTAATGGAGGGAGAAAATAAAGAAAAGAAGCAGATAAAGAAGAGGAAAAGAACAAAAAGAAAAAAATGAGAAGGAGAAGAAGAAGAAGAAGAAGAAGAAGAAGAAGAGGAGGAGGAGGAGGAGGAGGAGGAGGAGGAAGAAGAAGAAGAGGAGGAGGGGGAGGAGGAATTTCTAGACGAAGATGATGATGAAGAAGAAGAAGAAGAAGAAGATTTCAATCAGAAATGAGATCCCCTTTCATAGTTGGCTACATCTCACTAGACTGACAATAATCCACAAGACCTACATGCATTCATAGAGACGACAATTCACGAGACACACGTACAGTATAATATAATTGATATTATTGTAATCTATATCTGTAAGCTTTTCGTTGATATATAATTCATCATTTCATTTTCACTAACGACAGGGTCTCTTTAAATATAAAAGAAGGAGCACTTTTAAAAACACACAGATATGAACTGATGAAAGCATTTCAAAGTATACATGCATATACATATTTTATTATTTTCTGTCGATTTCAATACAATGTTATGTTCAACTCTTTTTGCTCTTCGCTGTGTTTTCAGCCATTTGTAGAATGACTGTGATCGATCTTACTTACTAGGATTATTATCAAATAAGCCCTAAGTGAAAGTACAGTAGCATTATTACAATATATACAAAGAAACAATAATTATAGTGAACTGCCCGAGTAAAAATAGAAAAATACATTATGTGCAAAGCTGTCTCCATAGAAAATATAATTCAAGTACATGTACGTGTATTTCACTCTTATAAGTAATTTCAGTAACCTTAACATGTATATTATCAATCATTATTTTAGCGACTATCAAGAAATATTTACACATTTGGAAATGAAATCATAAAAGGATTGCAACTATTTAAAAAAAACTCGAGGGAAATTTCTTTACCTTACCCTGTTGGTGTTGTACCTCCCATATACAAATCATGTTCGAATTATTACGTAATACTCATTGTTCGCACATTTCAGTAGGTGACGCATACTCGAGGCTATTGAAATGGCCCTGTGTTGCTTTTTTAAAAGTAGATGCGATCGTGATACATTTTAACACCGAGTATAAGCATAACATAACATCTTAAATATACATTGACAACACAAAATCGTTTTGTTTTAGCGTAGTCCAAGAGTTTTTGTCCATCTCTAGAAGACTCATTAGAAAGATTATAAAACATAAGAAAGACCATGATGATTACCAAGATAAACAGCTGCGTGAGAATGAAAAATAACACTCCAAAATGAATAACAAGTTCCATTTTAAGAAAGACAATTATTCAGGGATTTGTACATGAATATATCAATTTGTGAACGTTTTTGTGTGTTGTTTTTTTAAAAAAAATTAAAAGTACGAACCAATTTGTTTTAAGTTGACTATGTTTTGTAGGGCTCTGGGTTCGAGCTTATATGACTCATTAGTTTTGTCTATGAGGGCCTTACTCATTCTGTGCATGCCTATCATGGCTCGTCAGACACCATGCGACCAAAATATTGGCGAGCTTTTACTTATATGACGTAAGGTATAGTAAGCTTCACATTTGCGTATTTTATAACAAAGGGCTAGCTCAGTGAATACCCAAAATTCCTTTGTTTCATGCAGCTCTTTTACGACGTTTTACCGCGCCATTTGTGAGCAAGTTTTTAGGAAGGGAATAGGATCTATATTGGTAGATGTTGCTGAGTCAAAACATGTTTTTAAGGTTGTTGGGCGTGTTGTCCCAGATTAAGCTAGCCAAGCTGTGTTTCTTATGGCTGTTTTCTCTGGATTAAGAGGTATTGGTTGAATGTTGTTAGGCGTGTTGTCCCAGATTGAGCTAGGTAAGCTGTGTCTGCTGCTGGTTCTGTAACTGCTGCAGCTGCTGGAGTTGGTCCATGTTACCGGGTTGTCCAAGCTGATTTATTTCCTGCATAGCAGACATGGTGTACATGTAGAAAGCCACAAGGAGACCAAGATAGGTCAAGAAGAAGAGAACCCCACATGCCAGACTGCATATCGAATATCGCTTAGCAGCTCTTGAAGACTGGGTAGCCCCTACGATGTCACCAACTAGCCATTTATTCCGAACCTGAACAGGAAGGAAATATAACAGATACAAAATATATGATGTTTTTCTGAATTGTAGGGGGGGGGGGGGGTTAGGTCACCTTTTTTTGGTCACCCATTACCACAATTTTTTTTAATAAATAATTGTATTTAAAAAGAAATTGAGGGGAGGGTTTTCCTCCAAAACACACACACACACACACACACACACACAAATTTTAGGGGGAGGGAGGGTTCGACCCCCAACATAATAAAGCATAAATCTTGTAGCTGAAGTGGTAGATAGCAATAGATGTAGAAGTACTAGTAAAACTACTGGCAGTAATTGAAGTAGAAGTAGTAGTGTAGAAGCAGTAATAGAGGTAAAAGTGTACTACATGTACTAGGTTATAGTATGAACTTACATCAACAGACTTGACAATGGCTGCGATACCACACGGGATACAGCAGAATAGAGCGCTGAGGATAGCAAAGAGAAGATGGTCATCCGGCTGCTGGCCATACCGTGCCTGTCCAATGGTCTGAGCTTGTGGTACCTATAAGTATGACATGTAAGGTAGATAGTATGTATATTTCATCACATGATTTACTTTTGACCAATCGTAGAGCAAGATTCTAAGTATGTTGAATACAATACATGATAATAATAACGATGCTGATGATGATATCGATAATGATGTTAAATAATGGTAATTATAATGCTGATTATAATAAGGATAACAATGATAATAACAGTAATTACAATAATTTTGATAACATTAATAATAGTGATGATGATAATGATAAACAATTATTATTATTATAACATTTGATAATAATATTAAGGATAATAAAGATTCTAATGATAATGATAATAATAATATAAACACTAATCACAATAATTGTATTTGTAATACCACTAACAATAGAGATTCTAATAATGTAAGTAATAATAATAAAGATGATTATAATTATGATAATAATTTTAAAATAATGATTATAATTATAATACTTGTAGAAAGAAAAAAAAAACAATGATACTAATAAAAACAAAACAACTGCAACATGTATTTCTTATATTTTCCCCAGGGTAGCCTATCCTGCTATGGAACCTATAATGACTATTACCCTGGCATTGCCATGGTATATAGTCAGGAGCCCATTAAATACTGTGTTTTGCTTTGTTTTTGTTTCTTTTTCTTTGATGTTTCTTTGTTTTTTTCAAACAAAAAAACAATGATGGGAGCTCTACAGAAATTGATATTCATTTTGAGTATTCCCCAGGCATTAGTTGTTGTTCTTGTTTTCTTACAACTACTTAAATTAAATTAATGTGTGGTGTTTTTCTGGAATTTCATTAAAACAAAAAATATATATATACAAAGAAAATTCATCTCACCTTATTAAACGTTTGGACTGTATCTGGGTCATCTAAGAATGGTGATGCCTTTCCACTCTCCAGGTCATGACCATTCTCCAGTTTATTGTATTGAGCTGTCAACGAGTACATTCACAAATTATGTTTAGGATGATAAAGAAAAAAAATGTTCATTGGTTGGTAACTTGGGGGAATTATAATTCTACCAACCTTAAATTTCATTAGGCAGGCTATATACTGTGGACTTTCACAAGCCAGTTAATTATTCACAGTTTCTTGCTCTCTGCTGTCCTGAGACCATGGTCGCGAAGATATATATATATATATATATATATATATATATATATATATATATAAGCAAAAATGAATAGCCATATTGTTGTTGTTGTTTTTATTTGGCGTTTTCCATGAGTGAATATATTCCATTCCAAGCATATCAAGTGTTGACAGCTTTTGAAAAGCCTGTTTTATGTCTTATTATCATGGAAAAACAGTTGGGAGAATTCAACACTAGATTGGGAGAATTGCGTATTTGTGACAGCCTAATTTAATCATCCAAATAATGTTATGCATGCCTTCAGGTCCTGCAATTTGAACCATTCACTCATACACTCTGTCATCTGAGCTGCCCGCTGGCGCTGGCGACGCGCGTATATGAAAAAGCATAATGTGACTAATTATACCGTGTACTATATGCACGCAAACATAGCGCGTATTTTGTCTACGTTAAATAATCCGACCCATACGTGTCAGCGAAAATGCATACAAGTACGTATTCATGCTACAAACTTAAAGAAACTGGTAATTTACCTGTCATGGCTTCTGATTATACGAAGTACGGTCTTTCGAACTTGGACTCTGACTACGAACGTTATTAGGTGGTGCAGCGATTGATGTGCATGTAATACTGTGCGCTGCATATAGTACAGTGCTGGTACACTTTTTCGCCACGTAATTTTGGATTGATTCCAGGTCGACGTATATGCGTATTAGCCCCATTTGCGTTCACCGGACCGGAGAATTTATAAACAACTTCCTTTTTCTTTGATGACGTCGCTTTCAGGGGCGCCGCGAAAGGAGGAATTGTTTGCTCCCTCAATACATTCATACTGCTAAAACCAACTCAAATTGGTTCCTAGTTTCTCTTCCTATTATCTTCTTCTTCTTCTGTTGAAGTACAGGCCACCATGTTGTTGGTGTATCTTCGTAATCATTATTGTTATTATTTTTCATGAGGATCGAGATACAGGTGGCGGGTTTCATTCATTATTATAAATAAATATTTCATTATTATCTCGGCATTTCCTAATCATGCTTGGTTTTTTAGTTAGTTGCAACTATTTCATAAATGAGCATGCGCATTTCTGAAACTTATTGCAGATTATGATAAAATCTGTCATAACATTATTATTAAGGTTGTTTGTGACTATGCAAGCCGACATTTCCGACTTTACATGGCCCTCCATTAACCCCCATGGTCATATCTCTCTCTCTCCGTCTCTCTCTCTCTCTCTCTCACACACACACTATTATCTCTCTCTCACTCTCTCGCTCTCTCTCTCCCTCTCCCTCTCACTATCTCTTTCTTTTTCGCTCTCCCTTCCTAGCACACTCTAAAAGATCTCTCTTCTCTCACTTCCTAACTCTCCCTCTATGTCACCCCCTCGATCTCTCTCTCTCTCTCTCTCTCTCCCCCTAACTTCCCATATAACTATCTTCTTTTCTCTCTCATTTTATGTAGCTCTGTCACTCTCACCCCACCCCTTTGTTACTATACCTGTCAATACCGATATACATCCCAGCAAGTTTTTATAATATCATATATGGATATCTGTGTTCGTATACGTGTTCTCTCCCCCCCCCCCCCTCTTACCCCTCACCCTATTTTCTCCCCCTCCCCCCCCCCCCTCTCTCTCTCTCTCTCTCTCTCTCTATCTATCTCTCTCTTTCGGTAACTCTGTCACTCTTTCTCTATCTCTTGACATGAATCAATTCCATCTCATCTCCTATACTTGACAATAAATAGTCCAAAATCTGGCCGGTTCGTTATATTATATTCTCTACAATAATAATGATTCAAGCCGCAGAAGATGGCGTTATCAACGATTGTGTGTCTAACGAGATGACGAGATAATTCCTCGTCTTCTCGGCCTTTTTTTGTCCAAGAAGATGAAAAGGCGAGATTCCAAATCTCGTCTTCTCGGCTTCTCATGTACAAGAAGGTGAGAAGGCAAGATTACCAATCTCGTCTTCTCGACTTCTCGGGTACAAAATGATGAGCAATGTAGATTCCAAATATTGTGTAGAAAGTAGCTTTTAGTAGAACTTGTGGATGTACAAAATTAGCCGTAGCCATATCGGGGCATTCAGAAGCTCTTCAATTTCAGCCTTGAAGAGTTTCAAGACTTTCGTTTTTCCATGAATTATACCTCGTAATGTGAATACAGAGAAAGACATATTGTTTAGTTGTATAAATAAATATTAAAGCGTGCTATCGGTTTTTAATATCTGAAATATTATAGAACTCAAACAGTAAATCATATTGGGATTGCATTACCTATTTGTACGCTACATGACACAAAGACCTTCAAGGTCCGAGAGTGTTCAAGCCCCCTATCCCCCAAACAAAACACAAATTTTAAGTGCCTCCCTCCCAACCCCTCTCTGGGTAATAACTAGGTTCATGGTCCGGTCCAACTTAGTGTGTTTCCGGTGTTAGGAAATCAAGATTGTGGATAAATAAAGGTAGGTCTTTTAATATTGATAGTATCCCAAAGTATAATTCATTGAAAAACGAAAATCTTAAAACTCTTCATTGGCCAAAATTGTAGAGCTTCAGGCTTGGGTTCCTGGATATGGCTAAGGCTATATAATTTGTAGCTTCATAAATCCTACTTAAAAGCTTCTTTCTACAAATAAAAAACAGTATTGGCGTATAAATTTTTTTAGTTTCTAAAAAAGCAATCTCAGTCCTTTAATGGCTATGATAATGGGCCTGTTTGTTCTACCTAATGTCTCAGTGGCATAGCCTGGATAAGCTCAGTCGGGGCAGGGTTGTGGGGCAATATTTCACACAAGGGGATGAAATTACGATAGGATTATTGTGTGTCTTATGTTTTCCTTTGTTTTTGACACTACAGAAACAAGGAAATTATATTAGCTAGATTATAGGGATTATGATTATGGGGATTATCAAAGCTAAACAATTAATATACTTTTAAAAAGACATGGTACGGGGGCCGCTACCGTTTGCATAATGCCTTAAAACTTTGAAAATCAAACTTCCTTACCTATATGGGAAATATATCGTGCAAAATATATACGAAACGCTTGAAAAGAGTGAATAACTGAAGTCCCTACAACCCCCTCTCCGTCGTTTCCTTCCTTTGCTGAGGGTTAAAGATAATTATGATAGATCAGTCCCTTGATGGTAACACTGCTACACACCACTGCACCATGTTCCATCCCCCCCCCCCCCCCGCCTACGCCACAGCCGTGGGGTGTCCCTTATCTTATTATCATTTTTTTTATAGCCTAGTAGTATTTTAATTTTTTTATGAATAGCGACCCTCCTCTTTATCATAAATAGCGACCCTCATTTCGTTTTATGAATAGCGCCCCTCTTCTTTGATTGTGAATAGCAGTCCCTACGAATAATGGGCCTTTTTTCAAATTATTAAAAGTAGTCCTTATGAATAGCGGTCCTCGTGAATATCGGGGATTCCCCCTAACAAATCGCCTTCTCGTACTGTATAAGGCGCCAAGGCGAGTTTGGACATCTCGCCTCCCCTCTTTCTCGTCCAAAACAATACGACTTGGTGAGTTTGGAAAAACGCCTTCTCACCATTTCATACCTGAGAAGTCAAGAAGACGAGATTTTTAATCTCACTTTCTCACCTTCTTGTACCTGAGAAGTCGAGAAGACGAGATTTGGAATCTCGCTTTCTTACCTTCTTGTACCTGAGAAGTCAAGAAGACGAGATTTTTTATCTCACTTTCTCACCTTCTTGTACCTGAGAAGTCGAGAAGACGAGATTTGGAATCTCGCTTTCTTACCTTCTTGTACCTGAGAAGTCGAGAAGACGAGATTTGGAATCTCGCTTTCTTACCTTCTTGTACCCGAGAAGTCGAGAAGACAAGATTTGGAATCTCGCTTTCTTACCTTCTTGTACCTGAGAAGTCGAGAAGACGAGATTTGGAATCTCGCTTTCTTACCTTCTTGTACCTGAGAAGTCGAGAAGACGAGATTTGGAATCTCGCTTTCTTACCTTCTTGTACCCGAGAAGTCAAGAAGACGAGATTTTTAATCTCACTTTCTTACCTTCTTGTACCTGAGAAGTCGAGAAGACGAGATTTGGAATCTCGCTTTCTTACCTTCTTGTACCTGAGAAGTCAAGAAGACGAGATTTTTAATCTCACTTTCTTACCTTCTTGTACCTGAGAAGTCGAGAAGACGAGATTTGGAATCTCGCTTTCTTACCTTCTTGTACCTGAGAAGTCGAGAAGACGAGATTTGGAATCTCGCTTTCTTACCTTCTTGTACCTGAGAAGTCATGAAGACGAGATTTTTAATCTCACTTTCTTACCTTCTTGTACCTGAGAAGTCGAGAAGACGAGATTTGGAATCTCGCTTTCTTACCTTCTTGTACCCGAGAAGTCAAGAAGACGAGATTTTTAATCTCGCTTACTTACCTTCTTGTACCTGAGAAGTCGAGAAGACGAGATTTGGAATCTCGCTTTCTTACCTTCTTGTACCTGAGAAGTCGAGAAGACGAGATTTGGAATCTCGCTTTCTTACCTTCTTGTACCTGAGAAGTCAAGAAGACGAGATTTTTAATCTCACTTTCTCACCTTCTTGTACCTGAGAAGTCGAGAAGACGAGATTTGGAATCTCGCTTTCTGACCTTCTTGTACCCGAGAAGTCGAGAAGACGAGATTTGGAATCTCGCTTTCTTACCTTCTTGTACCTGAGAAGTCAAGAAGACGAGATTTTTAATCTCACTTTCTCACCTTCTTGTACCTGAGAAGTCGAGAAGACGAGATTTGGAATCTCACTTTCTTACCTTCTTGTACCTGAGAAGTCAAGAAGACGAGATTTTTAATCTCACTTTCTCACCTTCTTGTACCTGAGAAGTCGAGAAGACCAGATTTGGAATCTCGCTTTCTTACCTTCTTGTACCCGAGAAGTCGAGAAGTCAAGATTTGGAATATCGCTTTCTTACCTTCTTGTACCTGAGAAGTCAAGAAGACGAGATTTTTAATCTTACTTTCTTACCTTCTTGTACCTGAGAAGTCGAGATGACGAGATTTGGTATCTCGCCTTCATAACTTCTCGTACCCGAGAAGTCGAGAAGACGAGATTTGGAATCTCGCCTTTTCACCTTCTCGTATACGAGAATTTTAGTTAAAAATTTCACTGTAGAAATTACAGTAAATTACTGGCAACTTTGTTGCACAGTAAATTACTGTAACTTTGACATTACAGTAACTTCCTGTAAGTTTTTCAACAGTAACTTGCTGTAAGACATTAAAATACTGTAAGCTTACTGTAAAGAAATTTTCATGTATAAGGTTACAGTATTTATTGTAAGTTCTTCTTACAGTTAATTAATGTAATTTTATTCACAGTAATTTAAATGTATTTACAGTTATGTACTGTAAGTTTTTCTCTACAGTAAATTAATGTTATTTCTCTCATTTACATTAAGTTAATGTAATAAGTACAGCTTTTCTACTGTGACTTTAGCAGTATCATCCTGTTAATTTTGTATCTATTTCTCTCATTTACATTAAGTTAATGTTATAAGTACAGCTTTTCTACTGTGACTTTAGCAGTATCATCCTGTTAATTTTGTATCTATTTCTCTCATTTACATTAAGTTAATGTAATAAGTACAGTATTCTACTGTGACATTAGCAGTATCATCCTGTTATTTTGTTATCTATTTCTCTCATTTACATTAAGTTAATGTATTAAGTACAGTATTCTACTGTGACATTAGCAGTATCATCCTGTTATTTTTTTAAATCTATTTCTCTCATTTACATTAAGTTAATGTAATAAGTACAGTATTCTAACTTGACATTAGCAGCATCATCCTGTTAATTTGAGGAAAAAACAAGCTTTCTGAACACAAAAATCATTATTAAAGTCTTTATTGGGTAATCAACGCTCCATAAAACAAGTTTCTCAAATAGTGTAACATTATGAAAATGCTTGCAAAGAAACTATCAAGTAAAACATTAAAACAAGTAAAACCACTAAAAACTGCAAAAGTTCAAGTACTCAAGAATCTACAGACCCATAGTCATCCTTCCAGTATCTCAAAAATTCTTGAAAAAATTGTTTAGATTATACCAATTCTGAAATACACATAACTTGCTTAATCCCAACCAATATGGCTTTAAAAAAAATCATTCACCCGACCTAGCATTAATTTAATTATACGACAGAATAACACATGCAATTGTGCAGACATAGCGGCTTTAAGGCATTGATATGCTAAATCACAACGTATGGCTTAGGGGCACTGCACTTTCTTGGGTCAAAAATTATTTGTCGAACAGACAACAATATGTTCACTTTAAAATTCTGAATTGTAAAAAACTATTGTAAAGAATTATCTTCAATTGTAAACAAGACATATTTTATACACTTTTATCTTCCTTTAAAGCCACTATTAAACGACAACTACTATCAGAATACAATCAATGAAAAGTCTCCATATACCTGGCAGAATCAAGGAAAACTCTCTATACCTGGTAGAATCTCTCCAAAAGACATTACTCACTTTATTTTTGTTTAATTTATCTTTTGAACTAATACCCCATTTAATTTGAGTTGCTCTGTTATATTAAACTTGTAATCTTTAATACGTGTTTCATATTCTTCTGTATTTTTGTCTCATTTACATGCCAATTCTGCACAGAAACTTGTTTCAACTTCATGAGCTGTCATTCAATTGATTGATTGATTGATTTATTGACGGTAAAAGCCCTATTCAGCTACTCGATTTTCTTGTAGACTCTGATCGAAATTCTTTACAATTTGAAGCACTGAACAAATCCTCAGATTTAAATAAAGTTAAAACGTTGGTAACCTCATCATCGGTAATTCCTATTCCTTCAAGTTTCTTTTTTAATTTTGGTATCAAATTTTGTTGGCTTAATGCATGAATATCCTGAACTGTGTCAATTATTTCCTGAATTGTAGAGTTGGGCAGTAGTAATTTTGCCTCCAACTTCAGATAAAACAAGGATAAGCTGTGTTTGAATGAGTCAGCGGATACATCTACTTCATCATCTGTCACACTTTCCTCGTCACTTGAGTGCAGTCTTCCAGGAAACTCCTGATTATTTTCTTGGGCGGATTCAGTTAACACAGTACCAGTTTCACTTGAAGTTGAGTCTAACTGAATCTGGTCTAACTTATTGTGAACTCTTGATATATGTGACGCAAAAGACGACCTCACTGAAAAACGTTTTTTGCAATTGGCAAAAGGACAGCGTATTTCAACTCCGTGTTTGATATGAACTCTAAGATGAGAAAGTATGTCATGGATTTCCTCACATTTTACAGCACAGAGTGGACAATTCCAGGTAGAAACGCAGAAAAACTGGGCATCTTTTTTTCTTGAAAATGGTTGATGATCCCTATGCACATGGGTTTTGAAGGATGAACAATTTCTGAATGTTCGATTGCAGCCAGGAACACCACACGGGAAATCGAAATTCACCACATTTCTATGGACTGAAAAGTGTTCAGAAAACCGCTTCAATGATCCAGAAGAATGATTACATAGCTTACAAACGTACATGGGTATATGATGTCCATGTAGAGCATCCGTCTGATTAGTGTTTCAGCATGCACACTGTGTGACTTCAGCAGTAATCCATGGCATACTGCAAGAAAGAAGAGCGGAAAACAATACCTTTAATATGCATACGTACACATAACTTTTTATGTACAGCATTGACAGATTAAAAGTTATTTAAATGATAAATGAATAATAAAAAAAAAGATAAAGGACAAAAAATACAAAAGAAAATCGAAAGAAAAACATAAATTCATCAAATATAACCAGTTGTCACGAGCCTCCTGATGATGACTGTATGCGAAACCTTCAGCAAAAAAACATTTGATTTCACGGCTATGAATGTTACTACATAAGTGAAATTAACATTCATTTGCGGTAAATGAAACTACAATAGATTTCTGTAAAACAAATTTACAATCCTTAAAGACAAAAATTACTGTAATTTACTGTTAGTATTTGAAGAACCTACGGTAACAGCAATTTACTCTAAGAAATGCAGTGATTTACTGTAGGAAAGTTTACAGGCAGATACTTTGAGTAAAAATTGATGGTAACTTACTGTAGATATAACCTACAGTTACTGTAAATTAAAATTACAGTGAATTACAGTAGACAAGTACTCAAAATTAATATGAAATAAAATTACTGTAATTTACTGTAAACTAGCAGTAAGTTACTGTAAATTACAGTAATTTTACAGTAATTACTCAGTAATTTTACAGTAACTTACTGCCAGTTACGGAATGGCCTATTTGGTTGCTATGACAACGCTGCGACCTTCAAAAAAGTAAATTACAGTAATTTTACAGTAAATTACAGTAATTTTAAAGTAACTTACTGTAAATTACTAAGTAACAGTAAAATACTAAGTAATTTTACAGTAACTTACTGTAATTTTATTTCATATTTTAACTTTTAAGTAAAATTACACTATGCAGCAGGATTGCCAGTACTTTGCTGTAATTTCTTCAGTAACGTGCTGTAGACTACACTACATGAGCTTAGACTTGTGCGTATTCAACTGATCACGCAGTGTGCTCATGATGGACTGATGCTGTAGTCGATCGTAGTGTGTGCGGTGTCCTATAAGTTATAAGTCTTGATGGTCTTGACGTTAGACATTTCCAATTTAACGTGAGCATGCATATCCATGTGCAATGGCATCGCATTGACAGTGACACTGTACGCTGGTACTGCAGTACAGTGTCATGTGCTGCACTAACACTACCGACTCTGTCCCACACACCACAGCACAGCACGTACAGTACACATATACCGTAGACGGAACAATTACAAACACAATCCCTATACTTTCCACAGTCTGACAATTCTTCACTTCAGCGGGATACAAATCAAATCATGACTCTGATAATTGGCAATCTGTAACTTACCTCGGATCCCCTTGGAATTGACTTATTGGTCATCAATATCCCAGCTCGAGGATCAGGACCAGGAACAGAACAGATTCAGATTCGTTGCTCAGGATCAGGCCGGCCAGCTCAGCTATAAAAATTATCTCAGCTCAATATCTTTGCAGAAAATTAAAAATGGCGGCGCGGCGTGGCGGGCTAGCGCGGGAGCCAATCACGTGCAACGCATACGCGCATATGCAGCCGATCCGCCTAATGCGCATGTGCGCTGTATCCCACAATGCTTTTTGCACGCTCCTTTACACTAGCTTACTGTAGATATTTGTTCCCATGCTCTACGACACTGATGTTTACAGCAATATACTGTACAGCAACGTCCCAAGTAACAATTGGACGTTTTCTGAACGTTCTAAAAAGGTTCCAAATTGGTTTCCTAAACGTTTTGTGAAAACGTTCTAAAGACGTCTATTTGTGGTAGGTTGAAAACGTTTTTTGGAACGTTCCAAATGGACGTTTTTTGAACGTTTTCTAAACGTTTTTAGAACCAATAAAAAACCTTTTATAGATTTGCTTTTAAGTGCAAGGACCTGCAGAAAACCTGTCGGACGTTTGGGACGTTTTAAGAACGTTTTAAGAACCTTAAAAACGTCCGGAAAACCTTTTAGGAACGTCTAGAACGTTTCCAGGACGTTTAAAGAACGTCTAGAATGTCCAAGAGAACCTTTTAAGAACGTGTAGAATGTACTGGAAACGTTTTGAAAACGTTCAGAAAACCTTTTAAGAACGTCCAGAACATCCTGGAAACGTTTTGAGAACGTTCAGAAAACCTTTTAAGAACGTCTAGAACGTCCTGGAAACGTTTTTAAAACGTTCAGTAAGCCTTTTAAGAACGTCTAGAACGTCCTGGAAACGTTTTAAGAACGTTCAGAAAACCTTTTAAGAACGTCCAATATACAGTGAATTTTTAATAAACGCTAGGTCACACATGTATTTGATTGATTTTATGAATTTATTATCAAACATATTTACAAAATATGTACAAAGGCTTGGCAATACAGTACATCATGTATATTTGAAAAAGAGTATTGGTATTTCCCGAAGTGCCCCCGAAAGAACATACAATTCTAATATTCAGAATAAATTGTTTTTTTATCAATATCGGTTCACAAACGGCTGAAATATCCATAAATATATTTTTATTCAAAATATTAAAAATGCATGAAGACTACTTTGAAGAAAAAAAATCTGAATAGTTCTTTAAAAAGCAATGGATATAGATATTTAATTAGTATTTTAACAAAAATTAAATGCAGAAACTGAAAGTAACGGGTCATTTTGATAATAACAGGGGCTTTACTTGGCCGTTTGTAATTATTACTTTGCACCGTGATGGTGCAGGTTTTGGTTTTAAAGTTAAGTTTGACCAATACTAAACTATCCCTTTAAAACTATAGATACATAACACATGAACAATCTACAAATAAAACATAAGAAAATGATAGATGAGTTGAAGATATGCCTCATTAACTGGCAAATATGAATACTCATATAATTCACGGGTCTATGTCTCTATGAATATACAAGGCAAGATAAAATGAATACTTTGAATAGTGTCAATAATTTGGCAGCACACATATAGCAACTTTGGTAACACACTTTATAAAAGCAATTTGAGTTATTTACAGAACCTGGCAATTCATGCCAAAAAGATGCCCCAGCAAATGATTAAGAAATCTTTCTACAATAAGTCTTGATCTTTGGTAAAACCAAATAGTGGATTTAATTTTTTGTGTACTATATCAAATTCAATGTGAATAAATTCACCAGAACCTTTTAACAAAATGTCACAAATTATCATTAAATACATGTGAATAACCGATTTAACTATGTGCCTCCACCCAGGATTAGCTTCATCATCCGGTGCAAATTATAACTATTCAAAAGAGTACATGTATTTACTTTCTCATCAACTTCTACAAGTGATAAAAATGTGACTATTTTAAGAAGTCACATTTCAAGTGAAAGTACGGCAAAAAAACACAAGGAAACTACACTCTTTTCAGCTCTACAAATTGACAACAATGATGACACCAACTGTGAGTAGCTATCCATCAACTTTGTACTCAAAATTTCATATTTTCTAAATTTTCCTTAAAGTTACACATTTCCACAGCTTTTAATCAGAGTATGTTCAGATTACTAATGACGAATAGCTTTCTAGACAACATGCTTTGACTATGGGGGTTAGAAAATGTAAAATTTTGTGTACAAAGTGAATTTAGAGCTACTCAAGATGTCATCAGCATTGTCAATTTGAATAGCCGAGAGTAATTTACTAGAAAATGTAAAAAAAGAGTAGTTTCCTTACTTTGTTTTCCTTACCGAGTTTGCCCATTTCTTATTTTTAATTTTGTTCAAATTTGTCTCCTTTGATTGAAGCAGTGAAATTTCTAGGGTAGATTTCCCCTTTAAATCCGAGTACAAAATTGTCCTTTTGATCGACCAAAGATTTAGTGGGCAGGTCAAGATTTCCCAGAAGCCTTGCATTGGACCTTGCATCTTACTTCAAATATAAAATCAACACAAAACACATGAACAATCTACAAAAAGCTATTTACAATAAACTGATAGAAATTAGTTGATATGAATTATTAACAGGCAAATATGAATACTCAAATTTAAGGGTCTATGAATATGGAAGACAAGGTTATAAGAGAGTTTGGCAGCACACACATTGGCCCGAATTCACAAAGCAAGGTTTGAGCTCAAACCTCCTTTTGTTTCGCCAAACCTCCTTTTGTTCTTTACAAACCAGGTTTGTAAAAAACGCGTAAAACGCGTCATATGACGTACGAAAACCAAGGTTTGAGCTCAAACCTCCTTTGTGAATTCGGGCCATCGGTTTCAGCATCCTTACAAAAAGTAGTAAATTTACAGACCTATACAAGTTTGTCTTGCATTCTCAACAAGATGTTGGCAATTCAATCCAAAAAGATGCACCAACAAAACTGTTATGTCGCTGATAAAGTTTCTCCATTATTAGCTGAAATGGTCAAATTTGGTCTCAATATGAGTTTTAGGATTTTTGCATTGCCCCTGAATGAAGGTATCTTAATCTACCTTGAATGAAAATTTGGTGTTCACTGGTTCGGTAAACGGCTCCCTCAGGTCTTCCACATCAACGGCCGCTCCCGATTTGGACAAAAGCAGTTTTTGTACCAACTGCGTCAGCTGCTGCTGCCCTTCCTCCAGCCTCTGCAGCGTACACAGTACCTGCACTTGAAAATTGCCTGAGAAGAAAAAAACAGACACATAAAATACATTATAATAACAGTTCAAGTCATTAAAAAGTTTGACAGCAAATTAATAGGATATTTTGGCGAGATATGTTTGATAGCTGTCCAATTTAGTCACTTCAGGAATATATCACCCAGCTTCAAAGACGACACCTGTGCAGCGCTTCCAACAAAGTATACATACTGTAAGGATTTAAAAGCGACTCTTCTGTAAGAAAACTATACCCATGCCTTGTTAATGAAATAAATTACATGTACGCCAAGATAATCTGCCTCTCTTATCCAATCCAACAGTATTTTAGTGTAGCAACTTAGTACAAATGGCAAATGTTGTTTTGTCAGTTTATACGCTCTACAGTATATGTTCTGATGATAAAAAAACCCTCAGAAACTTTCGTTTGTGAAATGCTATCTGAAAAAAACTTACTTTCCGAAGCCCGAGCCCTTGCTGGAGTTGTGGGTTGGAACTGAAAAATGCGATGTGGACTTGGACTTCGCATTCAGTTTCGGCATTGGTAACTCTGCTGCCACAGCCTTAGTCGTTCCTCCGCGTACATGTTGTTTTCTTGGGTCCGAACCGATTCAAGATCTGAAAAATAGAGACACATTGCAGATGTTAAAAGGGATATCAAGACATGACAAGAATTCTCATAAACTGAACAAACTTTTGGGTAATGCAAACTTCTTGTCCGAAATTTATGCCTAGATTACAAATTAATTTCCAGTTTTGCCGGAATGGTGCCACATCTATTAATCATCATTTTGCATGGCTGGGACACAAAGCAGGTCTAGCTATCCCAAATAAATTATCTTAGGTTTTCATCATCTGTTGGATTTTGAAGAAAACGAGAAATAAGATGTAAATTATAAGTCTCTGGCTGAGCCAAGCACTACTAACCATCAAGAGACAAATACTTACCAGCGTCACTTCCGGAATCACTAGAAGATTTGCTAAATCTCTGGGGAAAGACGTCTCTTTCGCTTCTACACAGCATCATCTTCCGATACCAGGTTTGACGTGTCCTCTGCCTTCCTGGCGATATTTTTGCACTTTCACATAGTTGCCTGTATGTAAAAATAAAACAAATCAATCCTTAAGTTATTAATCTACGTTATTGGAAATCAATTTCTTTAAATAATGTGTAATCTGAACTAAAAAGATTTTTTTTAAAGAGACGAAATTGAGAACAAGATAGGCCTATAGATCTAGGTCTCGATATTTCTAAAAAACAATATCCATACACAAAAGGTGGTTTGGGAGCTATTTCAATTGCCTAAAAAACAAACCTGTTGTAATCGGGGTTGGGATAATATAAAGTTGCTAAATGGTGGTGGAGGGAAAAGCATGGAATGTTCCACTCCCGTGGGATTTTAAATGCTATTGAGGGAATAGTAAATAAGTCAAGAAATGAGCTGGTAGTCGAGGGACTTATTTTCTTCACGAAATAGCATTTTAAATCCCGATGGGAACTTTCCATGATTTTTCCAGACAGCAAAGTTAACAACTCAACTGTTTTAATCATCCGATTACCATGTAATGTAACGAGCCATGCGCACCTACCCACTCCAGCAAAGAGTCCATGCTATTATGCGTATTGACCTCTAGCACTGCATTACGTGTTAAGAGGCAGCATTTGCTCAAAAGGAATAGTCGATACACACATAATACACAAATGCACTTATCATGCCGATGCGGCTAGCTGTAAGCAAATTTTGACAGTAGACAAACAATTTGAATTTCTAAATTGTTCTTTTTAACAAAATAACATCGGTAAGTTGAACAAATTGTATTTTATTACTGCTATTTAGGTTTCATCAGTTGTCACTAAAGTACCGATTTTTAGTGAAAGAGTTTTGTACAGTGGTGTTTGAAATGTTGAGTATCAATAGCACAGCTTTTAATACACACAGCCAGGATAGTAATGCAGCTATGTATGCACTAACTCCAAGAAGCTCCGACGCCGTTCGGCATCGGAGCTTCCTGGAGTTATGTGTGCACATACCCTAACCTACCCAATTACCATACCAGTCAATGCAATGAAAGTTTCAACGGCCTGCACATGCAACATAGAGTCTGCCGTACTTTTAGTTTTAATGCAAATAATCAATATTTTATTTCATTTTACATGCTTCAAAATCAATCAAACAAAGCTTAAATTCCTTACAGATATCAAAATGTTAAAATAACGCTTACCTCGGTGTCGCAGTCTAACAGATTATTTGAAATCTCGATGTCACGTCATCAAGCAGTCAACTCGGCAGTCAGTTTAAAACACGCGGCAAGCTCTGGAGCGAGCGCGCCGCACCGGCCGCGAATTTTTTTTCCGTACTCGAGAGGGCAAATACCCCATGTGCGCATGCGCGTGGACTTGTGATTTCTCTGCTACTTCCCATACGAAATGTACATGTATTCGCATGTACTGTGCACGATTCGCGTTCTACGAGTAAACGATGGCATAGTAGTCTTCAAACACAGACTCTGATTTGCCAGTTTGACAAAACAATTACGCATATATCGTGCGTAGCAATAGTACTAGTATTCAAGTCTGAGTAGTTGTATGATTCAGACATTTTAGTGCTTACAGAAATGCATCCCAAATTGAATAGCATGGTATAGTAGTCTGCAAGCACAGACGCTAATCGGACAGTTTGACAACATAGTGTCTTGAGTAGTGCTTTATATTCAAATATGTGTAGTTTTATGATTCAGACCCTACTGGTGCGTGTATTGGAAAGGCATCTCAACTTGCAGAGTGGCATAGTAGTCTGCAAGCACAGACGCTAATCTGACAGTTTGACAAAATAGTGTTATTCAAGTCTGAGTAGTTTTATGATTCAGACCCTACTGGTGCGTGAGAGAGAGAGAGAGAAAGAGAGAGAGATATGGAGAGAGAGAGAGAGAGAGAGAGAGAGTGTGAGAGAGCAGTGGCACAATACATAGGCCTACCATGGGGTCTGGAATCATTAAACTACACAAACTTGCATAAAATCACTACTCATCAATACACAATATATTATTATGTCCTTGCAGACTACTATACTACACTCTACACATTGAGATGCATTTCTAACGCACGCACCAGTAGGGTCTGAATCATACATCTACGCAGACTTGAATAAAGTACTTCTCAGCACACTACTAGTATGTTGTCAAACTGTCAGATTAGCGTCTGTGCTTGCAGACTACTATACCATTCTATACAAGTTGCAATGTATTTCCATATGCACTACTGGGTCTGAATCATACAACTACACAGACTTGAATAAGCACATCGCGACACATACGCATATTGATTTGTCAAACTGGCAAATCAGAGTCTGTGTTTGAAGACTACTATGCCATCGTTTACTCGTAGAACGCGAATCGTGCACAGTACATGCGAATACATGTACATTTCGTATGGGAAGTAGCAGAGAAATCATAAGTCCACGCGCATGCGCACATGGGATTTTTGCTCTCTCGAGTACGGAAAAAAAATTCGCGCACCGGCCGCGCCGGATACGATTCACTGACCTATACAGTGGTACGATTATATACGGTGCGTACGCACTTTGTATACACGTGGTTGAATGGAGCATAATAAATGACGTAGCGCGGTCGGACTGATTGGGCTGGGAGGGGGGGGGGGGGGGGGGAGGGGCACAAACATTATGTGAGGGGGAGGGGTCACTCCTTATGTATTTCTTTTTCTTCAAATAATGTCACCTTATGTTTTCTATTTTTTTCCTCAAAATTATTGGGGGCATGCACGTGCCTCCCTCCATCGCTACGCCACAGGAGTGCATCAGTTTGACATACCTCGACCCCCCCCCCCCCAAGCGTATGCATGTGGCCTAATTTCGCCAGCTGGTATTTTTTAAGAAATATTTATTTGGACATAAAAAATAAATTCAACAAAATACGTCTGAATAAAACGTTCTGTAAACGTTTTACAGGACCTATCCAAGAACGTTTAATTTGTAACGTCCAAAAAACGTTTTCTGAACGTCTTCAAAAGACCTAGCTCCGCATCGAATGTAAGGTCCCAACTTAGACGTTATATAAACGTTTTTTAAACGTTTAATATGGACGAAGACGTACGGAACCTGATAAGAACGTTCTGTAAACGTTTTAAAAACGTTTTGTGTTTGCTGGGGTACTTATACAGTTAATTATCGTAAAATCGTTATTACAACATATTACTGTTGTAAATCACAGTATTTTACTGCATGAGTTACAGCAAATTTTTACAGTGTACCCAAGAAGTCGAGAAGACGAGATTTGGAGTCTCGCGCCATCTTCGGTCGCATTGCGTCCGTGTGGTGCATACATAAAGATCAAAATTAAATAGGTCAGATTGGGCACTAACCTGAAAATAGCGTTATATCGATCGATACACAATGAAAGAGAGCCCATTTCATTTTTTGCTACAGCTCAGTAGACAGACAATCCACGAGACACCCAGTATAATTTAATTGATATTACTGTAATATATGATCTATAAGATCTCCGTTGATATATAAATCATCTAATTTATTTTTATTTCAGACAGCTAGGGTCCCTTTAAGCATAAAATATGGAGATTTTTATGAAGCATAAAACACATATGAAGCAATGACATTTTTGTTAATGTATAAATGTGTATACATATTTATTTTCTGTCGTTTTCAATACATGTGGCGTACGCAGGAATTTTTCGAAGAAGGGGGTTTTAAAATTTAAAAATCACGCCACAAATTTCGCAACGACTCAGCCAGCCACTGAATAAGTGTGGGGTGGGCGGAGGTGGGGGGGGGGGGGGGGGGGGGGGGGGGGGGGGGGGGGGGGGGAGGTCAGAGCACAATTTTGGTTTGGTCCCGGAAATTGGAAAATTGTGGGGGGGGGATAAGGTAAGTTTATTTGGTCTCCCTTTAGCATTTTTTGTTGTTGTTGTTGTTGTAATTAAAACATTAAAACAAATTTGAAGGTTTATTTATTTTCTCCTAAAAACACACATATACAACAATTGAGGGGGGAGTGACACCCCCCCCCCCCCTCCCTGCTGCGTACGCACATGTGTTCAACTCTATCTACTCTTCGTTGTGTTTTTAGCCATTTGTAGAATGATTGTATAAAGGCCATAAGTGAAAGTACAGTAAAATTATTACAATATATGCAAAGAAACGATATAGTGAATTGGGTTAATAAAAATATAAAAATACATTATGTGCAAAGCTATCTCCATATGCAATATATGATAAGTACATGTACATGTATTTCAATGTTGTAAGGAATTCCAATGCCCTTAACATGTATATCTTCAATCATTATGTAAGCAACTATCAACCTTTATTCACACAATTGAAAATGTAATCATGAAACGATCGCAACTACAGTGTGATTCAAATCAAAGTTAACACTTAAAAAAATGCTAATTATTTAAAAAAAATCATTTATGAAAAGTAAATTATTCTACATCTTATGAAAGACTGTACTATCCCAAATCATTTGAAATCCTTTTTATGTGTTATGTGGTCACGCTTGAGTGAACAAATCGACTTGCCTATGTGATGTTTGAATAAAACAATTGGGATGTGGGTATTAATTCGGTCGTTGCAGATCCAAATAACATACCTAAAAAATTACCATGCCGCCCATATCAAAACACGTTCACAGTCACTAACAGTCACACTATTATTTATTTTTCTATTTTTATTTATTTAATGTGAACATATACCACACACAAATGGTACCAAAAGATTCGGGATATAACACTCTTTCAAAACATGTATGGTAACATTTCGCTAATAGCTGACTTTTAAAATAAATTACAATTTTCCGAGTAAAAACTTTTGTTTGACCCACACGGTATATTAACACAAATATTAATTCGAGGGTAATTTCCAAAGCCCGTTGTGCAGAAAAACCACGTTCGGATTACATAATACTCGTTTTCATGTTCTCAAACTGTATTAGGTAATCCACAAGGCTTTTGAAATAGCCTTGGGTTGCTTTTTCGAAATTTTTTGCGATCGTGTTACATTTGAATTTTGGGTATCAAGATACTATAACAAACTTAATAACAAACTTAATAATATAATATATTAATATTCATAAAAAGATGTTTTGCTCAAGCGTAATCCAAGAGTCTTTGTCCATCTCTAGATAGAACACTCATTACAAAAATTATATTAGATAAGAAAGACAATGGTAAATACCAAGATAAAAAGCTGCGTGAGAATGAAAATAACACTCCAAAATTAATAACAAGTTCTATTGTAAAAGAGAAAACAATTCAGATATATCTACATGCATATATACATTTGTAAGCTTTTCTTTGTAATTTTGTTAAGGTGGGGGGGGGGGGTGCTCTGGGTTTAAGCTCATACGACTCCATGTATTTTTTATGAGAGCGCTACTCATTTTTTTAATGTCTATCATGGTTGGCAGCTATATTCACAGCTTGGACAATAAAGGCTCGTTCAGACATCATGCGGAAAAATTATGGCGGGCTTTTACTTATATGACGTAAATTAAGTATAATACGCTTCACATTTGGCGGGCTTTTACTTTTATGACGTAAAGTATAGTAAGTTTTCACATTTGCGTATCTCATAACAAAGAGCTAGCTCAGTGAATACACGAAATTCCTTTATTTCATGCAGCTCTTTAGCGACGTTTAACGGTCTTTAATAAAGTCTTTAATTCTGTCTGCACTAGTTTGACCAGGAGGGATTAGATCTCCCTGCAAGGTCACTGACAGGTGGTTATCTCATCAAATCAGCTCTCAATTAACATAAGAAAAAGGGAATCATGGGGGACCAACGGGTACCGCTTAGGCATTATTTACAGAGGGCGCAAGTAGTGCAGTCCCGCAATAAGAAGGGAATAGGATCTATGCTGGTCTAAGTTACTGAATTAACAGGTACAAGGTGAAAGGTTGTTAGACGTGTTGTCCAATATTTAGCTAACGAAGTTGTGTTTGCTGCTGGTTCTGTAACTGTTGCAACATCTCAAGTTGGTCCATGTTACTGGGTTGTCCCAGGTGATCAATCTCCTGCATAGCAGACATGGTGTACATGTAGAAAGCCACAAGGAGACCAAGAGAAGTCAAGAAGAAGAGCACCCCACATACCAGACTGCATACAGAAAATCGCTTAGCAGCCCTTGAAGACTGGGTAGCTCCTACGACGTCACCAACTAGCCATCTATTACGAACCTGAGCAGGGAGGAAATGTAACAGATACAAAATATATGACGTTATTCTGAATGTTTCGGTACCTGGTAGGATTTTTTTTTTTTTTTTTTTAATTTGGCAGAAAACATATGATATCAAAATACATAGTTGAAAATATTTAATTAATACCAAATCACAACAAAATACATGAACACTGGATGCACCCGGCTGTGCTGCTAGGCCTTGGGCAAAGTTAACCAATATAGTTTGCAGACCGCCCTCACCTATATCCTAACCAGATGCAACCAGTGTTGGAGATTTATGTGACAAGGACAATATAAGAGATACATGTACCGCATTCAAATAATTTAAATGCATCAAGACAAAGCCTTCAAATTTCCCCAGGGTTGCATCACACGCCGGAGACTCATGACCACACCAACAGAAAAAAGTGGCACAATATAATTATTAGGGACAATTTTATATCCGGAGTGTGATTCAACCCTAAAAAAACATATAGACATATGCATATATTAAACATAATACATACATTAAAAAACATGCAAAAATGTGACAATACAACAGTGATAATATTGCACAAATAAAGAAAATGCATACCGGTATACGTGTAATTGAAGGAAAAATACATGAAAGTTGAAAGAACCAACTCTGTCGAGGTTAAAATCACTGAATAGTTAATATACATGTAGAAAAGTTAGGTGATAAAGGTCATTCAGTAATTTATTGACCAAGTGAATAGTATATTGTAAAGTTCAGGTGAAATCTATTGGAAATATGTATTAACAATAAATTAGTAAAATTGCTGTTGCATGTTGGCAGGCCAGCTTATTAAAATATACATGTATAACTACAAACAATTATTCTAATAATTATATTGCACTGCTAAGCTAAACATCTAAGATTTCATAATAGTATTGGAAATTTAAAGTAATGACTCAACTGAGAGGGAACATTCAAATTTAATGGTGCCTTTATAATAACATTTTACTTTACCCCTATATAAATATTGATGTGTATATAGATAAATACAATTAACTGGAATTAATACATAATCAAACATCAGATAGATTATATAAAGATATAAACCAATTATACTCCCTTGTGGAATTCCACATACCACAGGCATTGTCTCAGAACTTAAACCTTTAAAGCTAACAAATTGTTTTCTATTGCTGAGATAATTAACAAACCGGTCATGTGGTATACCACGTACGCCATAATTTTTTCATTTTTTGTAACATTATGTTATGATTTAAGGTATCGAATGCCTATACTTAAATCAATATATATCCCTAAAGTATATTCTTTTTTTATCTAAACATGAGGTTATATGCTCTAAGGCGTGTAAAAGTGCCATTTCCGTGGAGTGGTTGGGTCTGAATCCAAACTGGTATTTTGTTAGAATGCTATTTCTAGACAGATGGCTATAGAGTCTTTTAAATATAATGCGTTCGAGGATTTTTGAAAGAGTTGGAAGTAGAGATATAGGGCGATAGTTTTTGGTTAAATTTGGATCATTCTTTTTATAAACAGGAATTATTTTTGCTCTCTTTAGGTTGTCTGGGACGACGCCTGTGGACAAAGACAAATTGAAAATGTGTTTTAGAGGATAAGAAATATGATGTATAATTTTTTCACAAAATTGGTACTTACACCATCATACCCACACGAGGAACTAGATTTCAAATCCTTCACAATCTGTATAATTTCACATTCACTTGTAGGATTAAAAAACAGAGATTCCGAAGTCCTTGGATTCAAGTATTCCGAAAAGTGGTGAGATGTTGACTGAACATCGTTGGCAACTGATGCACCGACATTAGTAAAATATTAATTGAAAGAATCAGCCATTTCCTTTTCATTAGATATTTGTTTGCCATTTTTCAAGATAAATTGCGGTAGTTTAACCTTTCTATTTCTTCCTAAAATATCATTAATCGTTTGCAAAGTTTTGTTAAGATTCAATTTATTTTTTTCAAAAAGGTGTGCATAGTGCTTTCATTTTGATAATCTAATAATGTAGTTCAATTTGTTTCTATAACTTTTGTATAATGAACAGTTTTTACACGATGGGTTTTTTATATACTTCCGGAATAATCTCTGCTTCTTATTGATAGAACATAAAATCCCTTGAGTTATCCATGGCTTTCTCGGAATATCTCTGTTTTTCCGTTGAAATGATGCATTAACATTTGCATGCTTTTTACATATCCCAGACAGTGTATGTAAAAATGCTTCATATGCTGAGTTTGTATCATCACATCTGTTTACACAAAACCAATTTTTTAGACTTAAATCCCTTGAAACATTTTCATAATTTAATTTAGAAAAAACTGAATCATTTGTTGTGGGATGAGAAGTACAATCCTGCATACGAACAAATTCGGTCAACTGGAAAATGGAGAGGTGATCGGAAACGTCACAATAAAGTACTACAGAATAAACTGTTTTGTCCAGAACATTAGTAAATATGTTATCAATACATGTACAGGATGACGCCGTGACACGTGTAGGCTTAGTAACCAATGGTTGCAAACCATTAGAATACATGACAGCATTGTGGGCGTCTGAACAATATATGGTGCCTGACTGGAATGCTTCCCGAGGGGTGGAGAATGTGCATACATTGTGTGCAGGCAAGCCTGAATCCTATGACCGGGGTAATAATATTTCTGCAAGACGCTCATAATCAATTATCATAGATTTAGGCCTATTATACTCTGTATTAACTCATATTATTATCATTTCTTATTTTATTTTTATATAATCTAGATATGTATTTTATCAATATTTCAAAAAATGAGAAAAACAGCTCATTCTATGTAAACACAAATTACATTTTGCAAAGTAAAGCTTGTGACAATCACGAAAATAATATTTAAAGAATATTATTCGTGTGGGCGTTTCATCATATACAATCCAATATTAAAATTGATTTGTGAAACATATCCTAGACACGATATTACCACTTTACTTTCATTTTATTAGCGATATATTAGTTTTATTTCTACACAATGCTTACTAAATATCCTAGTCTACAAGTAAACCTCAGAAGTTACCTTAAATAAAGTAGCATAAATATGTTGTAAGCATTATTATTATGAATAGATGTAAAAGTACTAATGAAATTACTGGCAGTAAAAGTAAAAGCAGTATTAGAGGTGAAACAATAACTAATAATAGTGCTAGTATTTGTTATAGTACTAGTAGTAGTGGGAGTAGTAGTAGTGGTAGTAATAGTAGTACTAATAGTATTAGTAGTAGTAGTAGTAGTAGTAGTAGTAGAAGTAGTAGTGATGGTAGAAGCGGTAGAAGTAAAACTGCTAGTTGCAGTAGTGGTAGTCATAATAATGGTGGTAGCAGTGGTAGTATTAATACTAGTAGTACTAGAAGTAATATCAGTAATAGAAGTGGTGGTAGCAATAGTAGAGCTTCGGTAGGAGAAGAAGTATAGGAGTAAACGAAGTATTGGAGTAGATTAGTAGTAGTAGTAGTAATAGTGGTAGTGTAACTGCTGGCAGTAGTGACATCAGTAGTACTAGTAGTGGTATCAGTTATAGTGGTGGTGGTAATCATAGTAATAGTAGTAGAAGAAGTAGTATAGAAGAAGTATACATAATAGCAATACAAGTATTAGTAGTAGCAGTAGTAATAATTATGGTGGTGGTTAAAGTAGTATAAGTAGTACAACCTATGTAGAAGAAAAAGTATAATAGTATACTAAATATATAAAGAGTAGAAAAAGAAGTAGTGGTAGTAGTAGTAGTAGTAGTAGTAGTAATATTGATAATAGTAGTAGTAGTAGTAGTAGTAGTAGTAGGAGAAGTAGTATAGTAACAGTAACAATAATAATAGTAGTAGTAGGAGTTGTAGTAGTAGTTGTAGTAGTAGTAGTAGTAGTAGTAGTAGTAGTAGCAGCAGTAGTAGTAATAGTGGTAGCAGAAGTAGTAGTAGTAAATAAAAGTGGTGGTGGTGGTAGTTATAGTATTATTATTAGTATTAGTAGTAGTAGTAGTGGTGGTAGTAGAAGTAGTAGAAGTAGCATAGCAGTATTAAAAAAAATAGAAGTAGTAGTATTGCGATGATATTTCTACCACCCAATTCTACTAATACTGCTACTAGTACGACTACTACTACTAAGAGCAACAGCAGAAGCAGCAGTGCTAGTAATAGTTAGTATAGTAGTAGTTGAGTAGTAGTAGTAGTAGTAGTAGTGGCGGTAGTAATAGTGGTGATGGTGGTAGTAGTAGTAGTAGTAGTAGTAGTAGTAGTAGTAGTAGTAGTAATAGTAGTAGTAGTATTAGTGGTGGTACTAGTAGTAGTATAATAAATTTGTCGAACTTCTGTCGAATCGAAATCTGTTTTACATCCTGGTCCTGAACATAATTAAAATGTAATACACGGAAATCATCGAAGCTCACAAGCAAAGGTAAACACAGTATAACACTAATATATAGGAATAAAACGCATTAGAAGTAGTAAAAAGCAACAAAAAAGACAATGTAATCATTTAAATTAGCAGCGGAAAACATCAAATCACTTAAAAGGAATTTAAAAATCAGCAAAAAAATATAAAAGGAGAAAAGAAATGAGAAAATTGGGAGAGATATAGATAAATAAGCCATGTCAAAAACCATTTATGAATAGGCATTGTATCACACAGGTGTAAACAAAATTGTCCGTGTACATATGTTTAAAGTCATCGATATATTTAGCATTTTGGAGAGCAAAAGGTAAACTATTTCAGATTTTACCACCAGCGTATCTAAAACAATTCATAAAAATTCAAGACTAGGCTTGGGTAAAACATCTTCCAACGTATTGGCAAGTCTAGTGTTAAAACCATGTCTGTCAAAAACCATTTCTACTTTATTGCACAATCCTACCGGGACTTTTTCATGAATACAGTTGTACATAATACATGCTAAAATTAGTCACGTCTAGTATCAATGGATTGCCATTTCAATGAATTCATCATATTCAAGCTATTAACATCATAGTCAAAATTTCCTACAAAAATA